CGCCTGCTTCAGCGGCCACCCTCCGCCGCGTCCCCAGGCCGGGCCGGTAACGACAGCAACGCCGCCGAGACAGAGAGAGAGAGAACGAACGGGAGAGAGCGCGCACGCCCCCCCCCTCACAACGGTCATCCGGGAGCTCGAGCCGCGCTGCCCCGCCCACCCTCCTCTCGTCACTTCCGCATTTCACCGCCACCAGGAGACACCCGGGGGAGAGGGCCGAAAGCAGCGCCCCGCCCCCTCCCGTCCGTTAGGCAGCCAATAGGAACGAAGCCGCCCGCCTCAGCCAATGGGGAGACAGCGCCGGCCTGGCGCGGCTGGGAGCCTGAGCCCCTCCCCTCCCTCCGGGAGCGACGGCCCCGCCCTCCCCTGGCGCCCCCTGGCGGCCGGATGAGGGGAGGTGACGGCAAGTAACACGCCCGGCAGCCGTTTTAATTTAAATGCAAATATTTATTTTTAAAACGTCTGAACTTTACACTTCTGACCGGTAATAAATGTAAAATATAATTTAAGAAATACACTTGGAAGTTCCTTCTAAAAGCAGACTGAGGAAACGGTCCAAAATGCCAGATCCACCTTTTAGTGCCTGTTTTTGATGAGCCCGCTCGTGATATACCTTGACGTCTATTACACTTGTATACAAAGCAGCATAGTCGATACGGGTTAGGTTACATGTCACCAAAGGTATTTTCGTTAACTGGTTTTGCTTTCGCAGGAGTTGCTGCCTCGACTTGCCCAGGACGGCCGTCGGGGCTGGAGCTGGGCCCGCCGCTGGCCTGCCTAAATATTTTGGCTGTCAAAGTAGCCAGCACACGTGCCCGAATCGCTCGCCTAAATGCACGCGTTACACACGCAAACCGGTACGTTTTTCCAATAACGCTCAGGTGGCAGGGGTGTCCTCTCCAGAAATGTGCCCTTCATTTTGGGGACCATGCAATGGGCCAAAACTGCTGGTAGATCGTCACGCACCTATTTTTTTAATCTCATCCCCCACTGTGTCTCTTCAGGAGGAGCAGGAATGGCACTTTTAGTACAGGATAATTAGCAGAGTTTGATGGCAGGTTTCACCCCTTTTCAAGATTAATTTATTATTTGTACTGGTATTTTTCATGGGCATTTCTGTAACAGTCAGAGGCCTTTACGTGGAGTCACATTAAAACACTTGATAATTATTTGTGGTTCTAATCTCCAAATCTAAAATGTAATTGAAAACACTACGTTGCACATGTTGTATAATGCTTCCATACCCTTCTTTTAAAAAAAATTACAAATTAAAAGTGCAGTTACACAGTGAAAGAATAAACACTTGTAGAAAAAAATGAGAGAAGCAAAAAAGGAGGAAATAGGTTCCTTGATTTTTTGAAAGAGGATTTGGTGGTACATGTACTTGCAGAACTAAACTGTTGGTGGTAGCTCAGAGTTTCTTGGCAGTACAGCCTCCTGAAGAGAGGATGTTTCCCCAGCAAAGTGACCTTTTTTCTGGTTTAGGAGTACAGCTGTAATTAGTGAGTACCTCTGTCTTATTAAGGAGGGCAGGGGTAAATGGGGGGATTGCACTTCCGCCTAACACTGTTCTTTTGGCAAAACTTTTGAAGTATGCCTAAAGTGGAAATAAAGCTACAGACGCAGAGAACAGAAAGGGTGGAAGCCACAATGTACCATCCTATAAAATCAAAAAGGTAGAAAATCTAGAGGAAGAAAAAGGAAAAGTTTTTTTGGTGGGCACAACTGCCTTTAAGGAAGAAAGTGTTCTTTGGTTTTGTTAAGAACCTGTGTAGGTGAGGAAGGACCCTTTCAGAAGAGGGAAGTTTATTTACCATGTAGAGGAAGAATCTTTTTGGCTATGATAAGAGTAGAAAGAAAACTGAATACTGTTTCTGAGAACTGAGAAAACTTTTGCCTTTTTGAAGTTCTTTCTTGAAAGACAGTGTTTAAAACAAACATGCAACAGTTGATGCTTGCCTGTCCCTATCTCACATTTTAAATGAACAAAGGGAGGATACATACCATCCAAAAGTTAAAAAAAAAAAAAAAAAAAAAGAGGTTCAGAAGGGAGAGTAGTGCGATAAGGAGGGGAGAGGCCAAGGTGTGACCTAAGAAGTGGCAGAACAGCGGTATAATTCCTATGACATCCTCCTGTGCAAAACAGGGAGCTCTAGACCAGAACTTCACCTGATTTTTTTAACATAGCCTTTTAATTAGTTAAATACAGTTACTGAGACTAGCTAAGCAGCTGATGTTCTTTCCATTACATTCTGCCAAATTTTTGTATTAGTCATTGGAATACTGCAATTCTACCAATACAAATGTGAAACTGGAAGTTTTGGCTGTTCTACAGCTGTCCCTGGAGCCCTATTGCATCAAGGAAATCCTGAGAAACTTCAGATTGCAGAGTCAGAGCACCAGCTGCATGACTGAGCTATAACTACCAGCAGCAAGAGAGTTAATGCAGACACTGGATTTGCCAGAGTTTCAAAGGCTAACCCCAGGAAAGGAACAGGAGAACTTCATGCCTCCTAGAATGATGTTTTCAGTCTGACTGAGAAATGCAACTTAGCATTGAATTACCTCAATCCTTGTTTTCAAGAAATTATTTTCAGCCTGAAAAGTTACAAATTCAGTTCTACAGGAAAAATAAGGACATGATTTCAGAGCACAGAGTTATTAGCAGTGAGTGGAGAATTAAAGCTGTAGTCACAGAATAATTACACCTTGACAGCAATATATCAATCAGGGTGATCTTTTTTCTCCCCAAAATTTGTCTTAACAATCTTTTTTTTACCTTCCCTTCAAACCTCCACCCAAAGTCTTTGCCTAAGCACAGGCAAGTGCTTAGATCGCCATATGTTTTTTTTTTAAAAAAGTACTTTATGGTTTTAGTATATTTTTCAGCTTGTCACTGATGGTTTTGTTCAGAAGCATTTCTGATAGCATGATACAGAAATGTATTTATAATGACAAGAACATATGCCATGTGTATTCAAACACAGCAAAGATATATTTGTCAGGGTGGTAGTGTCCATGAACATAAGCTACCAGCAAGCCCTCTTGTATGAGTCTCCTTCAGCTAGGTAAAAACCATGTGACTACAGCCTGAGCATGGCCACCTGCAGAATCTCTTTGCTCACTACGCATGTTACAGAAGTCTGCTTCCGTTGTGACACATGATTTCACATAGGACTTTGCAGGATTTAAAAGAGAGGAAGAAACTCTAGGGAAAGAAGGTCGTTTTCTAGCGAGAAATTTTCTACAATCTGGTTTAGGTTTAGGGTTTTTGTCTCAGTATAATCAGAAAAGTCCTTCCATTTTGAATGTTTACACTAAGACAGTAGAGAGAAAGAGGAAGGGAGCAGAAAGAAAAGACAAGAAAAACAGAAGAACAGCTCTGTACCTCCATTCTTAGGTTAGTTTTTTTAGTTATGTGACACTCTGATGAAAGAAAATGAGTATGTTAACTTTTTTCCCACTTCCTAAGGCAATGTATGTATTCATAGGTAGGGAAAATGGCATCTTTTAACTATTTCGATTAAAACATCACACATTGTTAAGGCAGATTACGGCTTTTCTGAAATAACTACAGTGGGTGAGGCTGTCCTACTTACATTCCAATATGGCTTCAACACAAAGAGTTAAGAAAGGCTTCTAGGCAGCAGAAACTGATCTTATCCCACAGAATATTCCTTGCCTCAGGCTTG